ATGAAGCAAACATAGCTCATGAAATTCATCTAGATTATGCAGATCAATAGTGTACATGTTGTTGATTCGACTACCAACAAACACAACTTGTTTGTCGTGGATGCGTTCAACAATGTAGTGAGATGATTCAAAAAGGACTCAATTACCACTTTCACATAACTGACTAATAGACAGAAGATTATGATGCAAACCCTCTACAAGAAGAACATTTCGTATGGTAGGTGAAGGAGAGGCACCTATGGTGCCAGATCCAATTATCTTGCCCACACCATTATCACCAAACAGCACATTACCACCGTTTTTGGAAGTAAGATTTGAGAAGAGATGACGTTTACCGGACATGTGGTGTGAACACCCACTATCGAGATACCAGACATGATCAGAGTTCGAGTTCTTCTTAGGTTTAGAAGATGATACCTGAAACTTACCATCTGGCGGTGTCAATGCCATGAATACTTGCTCATCAACTTGTTCTGACTCTGACTGAGAATCATAGTCACTCCAAGATGCCTTTAAGGCCTTTTCTTTTGCTATTAGAGTCAATGGGCAGTGTGCTCTTATGTGACCGTGCTTCCCACATTTGTAGCACGCCTGAGATTCTTTCTCAGGATAACCTGTATCAACATATCTGGTCTGCTGGGGAAGCATCCTTTCTCGAGAACTATGTTTAGAGCGATCATAATTTGACTGTTTCTGACTATCAGACTTAGCTTGACGATCATTCTTATATTTCATCATGCGATGAAAACGCTTGCTAACTAAAGCGAACTCTTTATCAAAATCAGACTCAGATTCACTGCCCGAATCATAAATAATAGCCCTAGAATTGAACGCGAGATTTTTCTTGCGTTTTTCATCCTCAAAATTCACCTGTTTTATAACATTTTCATGGCTGAGCAGAGATCCTATCAACTCGTTGATGGGAAGGGTAGCAAGATTCCTTGCTTCCTCAATAGCGGTGCGCTTAGGCAACCACTCTTTGGGAAGAGATCTAAGAATCTTTCTATTCAGGTTTTTAACCAGAAAAGTACGCCCTAATCCTTTCAATTTGTTAATCAAAATAGTGAAGCGGGAGTACATGTCATGAATTGATTCTTCAGCGAGCATGTTAAAAGCCTCATACTTGTGAACCAATAAATCAATACGAGACTCACGAATGTTAGATGTACCTTCATAGGTGTGCTCCAGAGCAATCCAGATTTGTTGAGCAGTCTCAGAATCTTCCACTTGATCTGCCTCATCAGGAGTCATCGCTGACTGCAGCACATGCATCGCGCGTTGATTAAGCTGGGCGCTTTTCTTTTGGGCTGCCGACCATAACTCCTGCTCTTCAGCAACCATCGGGATCAGCCCATTTTGGACGATCAGCCACAGCTCCTCGTCGATGCCCCACATGAACTGCTTCATTTGCTTTTTCCATGCTATGTAATTGGCACCAGTAAAAATAGGAGGGTGATTTATGGTGGCTTGGCCGAATGAAGAGGTGGCCATGGATCTTTTCCTTGGCGGTGATGAGCCTCGTCAAGAACCAGGCTCTGATACCACTTAAAACCAGAAGGTCAATAGGTAATTTTAGGGATTTTGTTTATCGTTCCCTTTGAGATCGAAGAGGAAGAAGGGAAAAACAGAAATGAAAGACAAAGGGAGACTGCAGAGGCTTCTTCTACTGATGGAAGCGAAATGGGCTTAAGTGACCTCAGCCCACAAGTAGAATAGAAGAAAGTCCACAGACTAAAGGAAAGGAGCCAGTACACACTTGGGCTAAGAAGCAGTTAAGCCCACTGTGATCTTAGATATGTTTCGATGGTCTCTTCTTCTTCCTTGGACAAATTCCTTAGAAGCAGAGCCACTGCCGAAAACAGAGCAAGAGAAGCTGAAACAAAAACAGAGGCGAAGGAGGGAAAAATAAAGAACACAGAAAATTTAACGAGGTTCCCCAAGCTACGGGTACGTCCTCGTCCCGGAGTTAGCACTTGCTATACTCCGAGAGACACTTTTTATTGATTTTTCCTATTGAACAAAACAGCAAGATAACAAGATAAATACAGTGAAGAGATCAACCCGAATCCAACCCAGATTCGTTAAACTCCACCACAACTGATTCCTATACCATCAGTTGCTGAACCCTCAGAAGTGCTAATAGTCCTATGCCACTATTCTTCTAAGTACTTTTTACAGAGGAGGAAAGACTCAATATATAGAACCAAAAGTAGCCGTTGCTTTCCAGAAAAGGAATGTGCTTCTTGGGCTTTCCAATTCTGAATCCTCTGATTCCTCAACGGTCAGAACCAATATGAATCTCCAACTTCTGCTGCGCTTCTGTCAACATGATTAGATCTCCGGCAGTTGCCATGAAGCTTGAGGAGCTCTGTATGATTTCCTCTGGAGTAGATCTCGTATGCGGCGGTGGAAGGCTCTCCAACACAACAGTGTGAGGAGGCGTTTTGGTCGAAAGTGGCATGGATGAAGATGAAATGAATGGGTCTGTCGGGTTTTCGTTGCCGTCAAATCTGGGAGAGGAATCGAAGCTCCTCGTCTGCCGGGGACGGCGGCCTGGAGAATTGCACTAGGATGGCGAAGTGTTTGAGTTTTGACCATCCGTGTGTTCCTCTTTTTCCTTTTGTTTTCCTATAATACATTTTTTTATATGTAAATTAATTTCAAATTGGCAAATTATAATTACCAGAAAAAGGTTGACAAATTAATGTCACTTCATCAATTTCTGTTAATCTAGTAAGCATTTATGAATGTGCCGTTAAAGGGCTAAATTGCAAGTTTGATCACTTGAATTATCTATAAAGTTAACGTTTGTCACTAGAATTAATTTATTCCATCTATATTCACATAAATTAGTTCAACAGTTCATGTTTGGTCACTCTCTGTTAGTCTCCGTTATATTTTGCTGACGTGGCAATCAACTCTAATAGTTGACCGTTAAGTTAGTGATGTGGAAATTAAAAAATAATAAAAATAATATTTTACTTTTCTACCTCATTATCAAATTAAGAAAATAAAAAATAAATCTAAATACCTAATTGAATCATCCCACCCCTCACCTCACCGTCGCTCCCCCAGATCTAGGAGCGTTACCGCTAGCCGGGGATCTCACAATTGAAGCTGGTGCTGGGGATCCCGCCATATCCCCCACCGCCGCTGCCGCCTTATGTGACATCATCTTCCCTCGCAGGCCCCACATCCATCCGAGCTTAGGCAGCCTCCGCCGTCTCGCTTTCGTCTCCCTCGCTGGCAACCGCCTCGATAGCTCAATCCCTCCTTCATTGTCAACCCTCCCAAACCTCCAACTCCTCTCAAAATTCCCTATCGGAACAATATTCATCCCTAAATCACCCAATCTTGCATTGCTACAGTCTATCGATATCAACCACAACTTGCTATCCGGCCAAATCCCTACTAGCAAAATCCCGAGTAGCTTGTTGGCGGTTAAGAAGTTGAGGCATGCTAACTTCAAGGGTAACAAACTCCGTGGAGATATTCCGCGTGCTGCTTCGGTATCACCAACCTATTCAACTTCCTCACATCAGATGGAGTCGGCTACTTCTTTAACATCCCTACCTTTTCTATCATCATCACCCCTCCTTTCTCCTCCAATTTGTCGTCTGTCGTGGAGGGGGACGAGTCATTGTTGATATTGAAATTGAGGGCGGCGGAGGAAGGGGATGGGTTTTGGTTGTGGGCAACAAAGGTTGATGGTGGCAACGACGGACTTCGCCCCTCTTTCTCTCTGACCCAGATCCACAATTACCCATTCGAAAGACGCCACTTTTGAGAGCGAACGGTCTACCGAGATGGGGGGGCGGCGAGAATGCGTGGGGGTGGTAGGGACTGTGATAATGCGGGTGTTGCCGCCAGCGTAGAAAAGAGACTTGCTTTGAGGGGGCAGGATTATCTGACCTCGGTAACTACACATGTCACGCAGCTTAGACCCGCCAGTGGTTGTAGCCGTCGGGACGATAGAGGGTGATGGCTCAATTTCCAGAGGTCGGTTGTGGATGGAAGAGCAAAGGACTTTAGAAATTGTACTGTTAATTGGGTTGGGTGAGGCTCGGTCAAATTTTTTTTAATAAAAACTCTAAATGTCATTAAGTTAATAGTCTAGTCAACATTTCTATTTGCCATGTCATTAAAACACTGACGGAGTTAACGGAGTCTAACGAAAAATAATGGTCGGTGACTAACGATGAAACGATTTGTAAAGTTAACGACAAAGTAAGAAAGAAAAGTAATTCGGGTGGCAACTATGAAATATTTATATAATTTGAGTGATCATACATGTAATTTAGCCGTTACCTATAGATTCTTCAAATTTTGGGGAAGAGTGACACAACCATATAAGTGTGAGGTGTGAATAGTTTGATTTTGAAGGAAGGAGCTATAGGTAAAGGATTTGTGTTACACAGCCTGTGGGTTGGCAATATTTATTGACTGGGGAAGTGCAATGTAAAGAGGTGAATTCCCAGAGGTTGATGTGTGGGAGATAATTAATAACGACATAATAGTGATCATGAATTCATGATTAGCTGATAACACCGTGACGTGGCCCCGGCGCAAAAAAATCGTAAATATAATAATAAGGAAGGAGGGGGGAACTGTGAAGCCGACAAATGAAGCATCTTTGTGAATGGCCGGCCGAAGCCGGGAATGTAAATTCAGAGCTTACAAACTTCCAAACAAGGTCCCCCAACTGCAGCCGTAATCACGAATATAAACGAACCTTTCCCTTTCCCATTTTCTGCTCTCTTCTTCCTTGTTATCATCCTTCCTTCCTTTCCTTGTCTTCTTTCCCCGCTTTGCATAATTGCATTGCATTGCGTGACTCCCTATCTATACACATATATTAATGCTGCGGATTCCGCCCTCGCTTTTCACAATATGCTCTACCAAGAAAACAGCTGTAGCTAGGATTAAGGATCATATCACCATTCATTGATCGATCCAGTTGGCACTTGGCACAACTACTACTACTTTTTTTCCTTTTCGCCATGGAAACAAAGCTAACGGGTCTCAGAATCTCCTCGTGGGTTCAACCCGCCGGCGGGCAAGCACGTCACAGCAGTCCGGTGGTCGCGGTGCTGATTAGGCCGTCGTCCTCCGAGAATATCGGGGCGGCCGACAAGAGGAACAACAACAGGAGCATAGCAGTGAAGCCCGCCGCGGCGGCGGCAGTAACGACGACGACGTCACCGTCGCCGCCGGCGGAGTATCACGACAGCTGGTTGGAGGAGGCGGCGATCAACTACCTGTCCCGCCACGTCCAAGAGGCGACGGGTCAGTTTAGTTAATTAGCTTCTCTTTGTTGTTACTATCTATCGTATGCCAAGACATATATTGGAGTGTGTTGTACATCAACGATTTTCACCGTCAGTTTAATTTTTTTAATTAAAAAATAAATTACCTTATTCATGTTGACCGTTGAGATGGAGGGGTACAGTAAAGATTGTCTGGTGTACGACATGCACCAGATTTTTTTTCTGGTATACGATAGAACATGACGATGCAATATTGATGGACTAATTAATTAAATATTTGTAAGCTAGGGACGAGGAACGAGAAGAAGGGATACGAGAGCTTGGTACAGGCGACGAGGGACGTGACGAGGAAGTTCGAGGTGAGGCAGCAGCATCACCTTGTGGTTCAGGCGCTTGCAAACGCCATTCCCTCGCCGATCCTTCACTTGGTAGGTTACTCCAACACTCCAATGCATGCAGCTAGCGGAAGTTACGATGCCTTAATTTATGTCACTGTTATATATATATTCACGCTTAATTACTTGGACACAGAACAATAATTTATTCCTTAATATATATTATACGGCCGGCAATGTGGTGAGGGCCGGCCGGCCGGCCACTCAGCTTTGGTTGGTAGTGGTGGTTTTGTATCATCAAGGTTTATGATGATGATGATCGTGAAGATTTTCAATTTTTTTGTTTTGGTTTTAATTTTAAAAAAATGTGTGGGGTTGATTTTGGGCAGATAAGGACGGTTCTTCCCAACTCAAAGTTCAAAAGAGAGTATTTTGCTGCTTTCACCACCGTCTTCTTTGCCTGGCTCGTCGGCCCATGTGAGGTAACTAAATAATTCCATCCATCCTTCACCATATCACCACTCTCACACAATCAAATACATATGAATTCTACATTGCATGGCATCTATTAATTTGAGTCCACATCAATTTGTTCAGAATTTGATAATTTTTTTCCATTTTTCGAAATACTTCCAACCCACTAGATTGTACCATATATACAATAATTTACAAATGATCATTGTCAATTGTTTACCTTATTATTAATATTTTATATATAATTAGTTTTTCATTGCTTCATTCAACCTTGATTCTCAACTATTTTTGACGTTTATTATGATGAATCAAATAACATTATTATAGGAGTTCATAAGTCGTCAACATTATTTTTATGTTTTGTATATAACTTTTGTTTTTTGGTTTTGGAAACTATATATCAGCCTGCTGTCTCGTTTTTTTCTTCTTTTTCTTTTACCCTTTAAGATAATGTCTTGATGGAATGAAATGGTAACTAAACAAGGAGGTTCATACAACGACTCAGGGGATACAAATATATATATAGTAAGTAGGAGATGTGTATCAATCCACCTAGAATTTATAACTGATCACGATTAACGACAAGCTAAGGAGCTTTCAATCAATAAGTTGGATGAAGAGTTTATATACATAGACCAATTACACTTTTATTTAAAGTAGAGTTAAAGATGAGCTGAATTAAAGAGAGAGAAGAAAAAGGAAAAACAACAAATAGAGGGAGGACTTCTACTATGCTATATAATATTGGTGCTTTAATATACAACTTGAAGTTGTACCATAACATTAAATGTACAAGTTTAGGTTGTACCATAAAGAAATTTGTATTATTATGTTATGGTACAATTTTACAACTTGAAGTTGTATCATCACATAAGGTACAAGTTTACGTTGTACCATAAAATAATTTGTACAAAAAGTATATGTACAATATGAAGTTGTACCATAACGTTAAAAGTACAATTCCAAGTTGTACCATAAAGACAAAAACCTATAACACCAATGCAATATAGCATTGTAAAATTCCTCCAAATAGAGGTTATAGATAACCTCACCACCATGTTTGTTTCAATCTTCTATTTTATCCCTAAATTTAAACATTCCCAATAAGCACAGTTTACATTTAAAATAAACATCTAGAAAGAACAAACAATTAGTGATTAAACTCCACATCGTTGGGAAAGTACAAGTAGTAAGGTAAATATTTTGTTTAGTAAGAAAAGAAGTGAAATAGTGATTGAAGTAATGTTTTCTTAAGATAGTCTAACATTGTCTTCGCGATAGTGAAAGTATGTGTATGTGGTATTATATAATGTAATATTTATTTACAAAATATATCAAAATAAATATCATAATGTATAGCATAATTAATATAATTGTAAACAAATTATAATGAGTGAGTAATTTTAACCCCTAATCATCTAATATATACATAATTAATATAATTGTAAACAAATTATAATGAGTGAGTAATTTTAACCCCTAATCATCTAGATTAGACGTAAAAAATTTACGAATTTATCACCATACAAAGTTATATATATTTGTTTTAGTATTCTTTGCTTGCTGACGTGAGGTTGTTTCCACGTGTCCGTCATTAGATTTAATCTATACTCACACTCATGGTTGTCAACCCAGTTAACCCTGTTGGCCTGATCCAATAAGTGTATTGAACTGTTCGATCGCTTCAATCCATATATATGAAAAACTCATTATACTGTTTATACATGTATAAAATATATTAAATATCATCTAATGTATGAGAAATAACATATAACATTATTTCAAAACAACTATTCGTACTTTGTACCAACATATAGTGGAAATTCAAACACAATCATATAACATTAATATTCAAATGTTCATCTCATAATTCCAAGATAGAGTTAGGCGAATAGGAAAGCTAGAAAAAGATACAACGCACAAACCAAAGAAAAAAACAACTTCGTGTAACCTACAACCCAAGAGCCTTGCTGTGGGTTGACACGTGGATGTGTGGCGGATGTTTTCCTCATCCGGTCAGGGTCAATCATGTTGACAACCTTGGTTGCACCATAATAATTATGTTCATTCCTAATCACAACTAGAGATGACACTTTTATCCAAACCCATGTGTTCCTATCCATACCTATTTATTTGGATTGTGTTGGATTTTTAATTTATGGATTTAAGTTTATACCCACACCCATAGCAAATTATAGTTTGAACCTAAACTTAATAGATCTTTAGATTTAGAACCTAGTACTATTTTTTTTTATAAGTCCTTAAAAAATTATAGAAAATTACATTTTAGTAACTTTTTTTTTTATGTCTTACACTTTCATACCTTAACTGTTTAAGTTCTTCAAGTAGGCCCGATCTTTTATGTGTATGTACTACAAGCTCATTTTATGGGTTGGGTATCGGTTGTGTGAATTTGTCGCTTGTTGGACTGACGATATAGCCATGTGGCGACATACATCCTCTATATTTTTAGAAAAAAATCCGAGTTTACTTAGCTTTGGAAAGAATTATCATGGATAATTGCCATCCCTAACCAAAACATACTTAGACACTTACATCACACCACACGAAACTATACACGGCACTAATATATTAATTGGAAAAAATATTTCATTGGAAATGTTATGCAGGTACGAGAATCAGAGTTTAACGGGAGCAAGGAGAAAAATGTTGTCCACATAAAGAAGTGCAGGTATACATCGATACTTATTCCCTCAAATATGTTGTTGCTTTTTTTTTTTAAATATAAATCTGGTCAAATATGTTGTTGCTTTACTTACTATTAATTAGTGCCTGATATTTTGTTGTTGGGTGACGACAGGTTCTTGGAGCAGAGTAATTGTGTTGGGATGTGCACTAATCTCTGCAAGGTGCCGTCTCAAACTTTCATCAACGGCTCCTTTGGAATGCCGGTCAACATGGTTCCTAGTAAGTAATTTAATTTCACTCTCCAATCCCTTACTTAAAATCATCATAACCCTAATTAATTTTGTGCATCGACGACAGTCACTCGACAAACCCCTAACCAAGTTACACACTTCACAAACATGTATTTGTGGGCCTAGATCAGCACTAAATTTAGTTAATTGAAGGGGGGGAAAACTGAAAAAAAAGGTCCCATTATTAGACAAGCAAATCGTACTCCTGTGCTATCTCCCTTTGAATAACTATTAAAAAACCCCATAGAGGTAAGATAATAAATAATGCCTGCACTTGGGAAAATTGGGTGGAGTTTTCCAGCTGCACCATCTTGTTGATGGAGGGAGGGAGGGACCCAGAGTTAAACCCACTTAGGGAGCAAACCTGCAACTAGACTCCCATCTGGTCTCAGCTCACCATCAATTGATAAACACAGACGATACGTCGTGTTAGTCAGCCATGTAAAATGTAATGTGTAGTTACTTTTGTTATATGATCGCGCGATTGCTTATAAGTTATAATAATAACATCTAAACAATATGAAGCCTAATAAGAACATGATTTATGATTCTGCAGATTTTGATGATATGAGTTGCGAGATGATATTCGGACAGGAACCCCCAGAATTGACGGAAGATCCAGCTTTCAAGCAACCATGCTACAAACTATGTATGTATATATATACACACGTCCCCTGCCCCATGATCACTTCTATGCGTGAAATAAAACAAACATGCATGCTTGAGAGAATGCATAATACATTTATTTACTTGATTCTCTTTGACATTTCGAATTGTTGGGTGCGCAGGCAAAATAAACAGAAGCCACAAAGACAACTGCACAAGTTGAACGCGACAAGAGATCTGCAAGAGGGGGATCGAAAGGGCACTTTTTTCAACGAGAAACCTTGTTTCAGATACCTACTTCCCAAATTGTTTTATAAACTAGGGGAGGGAAAAAGAATTCTTAATATGGCAATTCCAGAAGAATCACATTAATTTTCTCTAGTTTATTATATATGTGAGTTACTAAATTGAAAGGAAAGTAATTTGGGTGGCAAAAGTATTACAAATATATAATATGAGTGACCAAACTTGCAATTCACCCACCAACATAAAATTGTTTCATAACTTTGAGCATCCACATTGGTATTGCATTCTCAATTGCAAAATGATATGACATGGATGTTTGCAATTGCAAAACCAATTGCATTGATATGACTACCAATTACATATTTGCAAGCTTGCAACAAATGCAATTGCAATTGCATATGCAAGTAAAAAAAATGTCTATGGAGAATTTTCATTTTATATTACTTTCTTTTCTCTTTTACTTTATTTTATATAATTTAAACATAATTTTTAATTACATATGCAATTGCAAGTGGATTGCATTGATGTAGGTGCAATTACATTTATATGAGTTGGATTACAAGTATTGAGGTGGAAGAAAAAAAAGGCAAAATCCACCCGTGTAGCCAAAACTTTGACAATTGTGACAATAATAGCCATTTTTGGATAAATACCAATAATATAGCCAGTATTTTGAAAGCTTGATGACAATAATAGCCTTTTCCGTTACATAATTTAATGGCGTCAATGACACCGTTAGTCAAATTAACGGAACACTGACCTGGCTGCCAACTCACCTTCTCTTTCATTTCCACCTTAACATTCATTGGGAGGTAGACAACACGTCATTTATAAGAATAAAAAAAAAAAAAAAATTCTCCAATCCCTAAACTTCTCGAACCCTCTTCTTCTCCAGCAGCCCAGCGCCCTTCCTCCCATGGTCAAGCACCATTAATCTGCTTCCAAGATTCCTCTTCTTCCACCCCAGCAACCCACCACCACTCCTCCCATCGTCATCACTATTAATCGACTGCAAATAATCCGTCGGAGCTTTGGTAAGCACCTCGAAGGCGAACAGAGGAGAGAGGAGGATGAGGCGGCAACGGCAGCAACTCCAGTAAATTTTCTTAGGAAGTGTTCGATCCCAGCCTCTCGATCTTCCCAAACTTACCCCAATCCACAATTCGAGCCGTCGTCGTCGCCTTCGCCTAACTCTTCTTCTCATCTGATTTCGAGCCGCCGCTTCGGCGGAAGAGGAAGAAGAGGCGCTCCAACTGCCGCCGTTACTCCCGTTGGAGATTCTTCCAGATCTTGAAACTCTTGCCTGCCTCTCCTATTATGAGGGCATCATCCTCCCCATGTAAACCTATCGCCGCCATCGAATTCAGCACCGCGCTGGTTCATCTCCTTGTCCAACATCTTCACCACTCGTCCGATGGAAATGGATTGGGCGAGGAATAGAGAGAAGAAGTGTGTAGGTTTTGAAATTGGCTTCTGGGTAGGATGGAGATGATGATGGGATCGCGGGGGCAGGGAGATGTGTCGTAGTGATGGTGGTGATTAGGTAGTGAGTTATTTATTGTTTTATTTATTAATTGTTTTATTTATTTATTTATTTATTTATTTGTTTTTAGTCTCATAAATAAAAAATATTAGTTCAGATAAAGGATAAAATTTTAATTATTTTCCACCTAACATTATGTTTGAATAAAATATGCCACGTCATCCACTATCGTTAGTCCAGTCAACATGTTAACTAACATCGTCAAACAATTGGACGGAAGTGGCTATTTTTGGTATTCACCAACCATGGCTATATTTGACCAAACCATCAAAGTTTTGACTAGGTGTATTTTGCCAAAAAAAAAAAACTTGCAATTGCATTGATGTGGATTCTCTTAGCCCACAAGGTATAGTTCTATTCTATCTATACATCTCGATGACTGTCAATCTACTGTAGAATCTAGAGCTTGCGCACTAAGTTGCCCACTGCCGGTAGTATTGGTAATAGATGGATATGTGAAATCATACAAGTAAAATTAAACTACCTGGCTAGCTATATGCCAACTGATGGAGCAAGTATCTTAAACCACATATCAATCTCGGTAACCATCTAACCATGAACCGACCGAAAATGCTATCGGCCAGAGAATTGATGATTTCACAGTTTCCGTCTTCCATTTTCCATCTCCGAAACTGGCAATCTGTTATCAATTTAATAAATTGTTCCTTCAACCATTAATCAATTTAGAATTCTTCCCACTTTTATTTTTCTGCGAGAACAAAAAACAAAAAAAGAAACCCAAATCAGATGTAATTTGTCGTCTCCCTCTCTCACTTGCTCCGGCGGACTGTCAGCAGCTGTTCCGGCAAACTTCTCCATCACAGATTCATTCTCCAGGCTCTGCCATAGCGAGCCCAGCCCAAACACGGCCCGGACAAGGATGCCGCCAACGTATTCAGATTCAACAGTCTCTCTCTTGTGCTCCAGATCTTCGAACAATTGCGGTGGAGATAGTCTGCCGATTCCAGAAGTTGCATCACCTGGAAATAGGCTTCAAGCAATTCAAAGCCGCAAGAAGGAAAAGCTGCAAATACACCACCATCGGCTGAGCGCCAATCACCTTGATTCACTATCTTGACAATATGATCTCACTCAAACAAAACACGAAAACAGAAAACAAACAGGATTAATGCCGCATTGATTCAAGCATACCGAGCCACACGAAGAGACAGGGAAAAGTAGAATTGTGAGAGTATTTAGATCGAGGAGGGAGATTGGGGCAAAAACAGGAGAAGAAGAATAAGAAAATTGGGGAGTGATAGGGAAATTTCTGTTAAACACCAATGACTACTAATTCATTCCTTCTATGCAAGTTATCAGAAGACACACACTTTAACTCAATTCAATTGTATTTGAAGACACGAATAACACCGGGAAAACCTTGTCGGATTTCACTCAATTGTTCAAAGATAATTCTCTCAAAGGTAAAGCGAACAATTGAAGAAGGAAGAAACAGGAAGGGAGCTACGCCCGGATAAGCTTGAGTTCCTGGCTGAAAGCCCCAACTCAAGCTCTCCAGACACTTAATCCGAACCCTACCCTGTTCTCCAAAAGAGCTACCCTGCTCTTACTGAGAAAGGAAACTGTTGCCCGAATCCTTCATTGAGATGTCCTTAAGTAGGCTGCTGAAGCATGATTCAATCTCTCTCTTCTTCAATGATGGTGCCGTTGGAACAAACTTGAATTGATCAAGTCTTTAATCGTTGCAGGAACATCTTTATGGAGCTCTGGTGTCTAGGGATTGGAATGGAGGTGAAGACGCTCTTCGTGATCTCGACGAAGGTCATTCTGTGCAGTGGGCTTTGAGTGACGAGGCCTGCTGGTCCGATCCGTCGAGACAATCATTGGGCCATGACCCAACAATCTCCCCCTGCGTTCGAGCCTTCATTCCTGTCAATGTATACAGCATCATCAAAGCATCGAGAGTGAAGTTTTTTGTAATCATCAGTTAGAGGCTTTTCTTATGATAAGATTTCACAGCAACACTTGTAATCAAACACAGTTAAGACAAGGCTTTTCTTATGATAAGATTTCACAGCAACACTTGTAATCCAACACAGTTAAGACAATGCACTTAGAGACATTAAGATTATTCTTTAAGGGCAATTTATTGTCAACTATTTTGTATAGACCATTATGGTCTTTGAATTGAAAACAGACACCATACTTAGACCATTATGGTCTTTAAAAACACACTTAGACCATTATGGTCTTTCGAAAACAAAAGAACACAGCGCAAACTTTTAAATAGAGACTCATAAAGCATATCCAGATCAGTCTTCTGGCACAGATTTCTCATTTGGCTCCTCCTGAGATCCAGTTACTCCCTCCATCTCATCCTCCCCCTGAGTTGCAGCCACATCTTCCCCCTGAGTTACAGCTGCACCTTCCATCATATCTCTTTCAAGCTCTTCAGCAAACAATCTTACATCTTCTTCAGATATAGATTCAGGTTCAAGTTCAACTTCTTCCTCTTCAAATGAAACAATCAGATTCTTTCGAATAGATGAGGATGAGTCCCCACGAACCAAGGATTTAGACTTATTTTTGATGAGCCTGGCAGCAGCTGGATCAAAAGATTCTCCCCCTTTCGAAGGCTGAGGCTCAACTCCTAAATAGTTGAGGACCGTGAGGGCCGATACAGAGACAGAAGTCTCGACAGAGGAGTATCCATCAAGGGATAACCCGAGATTGGATAGCAACAGAGTGATGAAGCCGCCATAAGGAAGGCGACCATCGAGATGAGAATCAACACTTCTAACCATAGACCCTAACAAGAGTTGGGAATAATCAATTTTTCGTCCAGTGAGGGCATTGGAAAGAACCCAGAGATCGAGTTTGGTAACAATGTGATGTCCATGAGAGTGAGGTAGAAAGAAATGAGTGACAAAGTAGTGGAGGGTGCGAAGTGTGGGGTTCAGATCAGCTGAGGTGATGATTTCATTGGCAGCAACTCTACGCTGAGTGATGCGAGAGTACTCAATCACATGGTCAAACTCATAGAAGAGAAATTCATCCTCATGGGCCAGAGGGAGAGGTCATTTAGTTGGAAGGTTAAGGAGAATTCCAATGGCCTCAGCAGTGAGTGATATGAAATATCCATTCACTAGAGTGGTAAGTCTTCTGGTGGTGATTCCTTGACAGTCAAGGTTTGCATAGAATGTTCTGACAGGAAGGGGGCAAGCAGCAAGTGGAGGATAGTGGAGGAGGAATTCCCAACCCAGGTTCCTAATGAAGGGAGTGATGTCGAATCCTAAGGCTTTGAATTCATAAAGATCAAGAGAGATGGGATCAGAGAGTTTGCGAGAAGCAAAGAACTCCTTGAATCTATGGAGATTAAAGTCTATGGGTTCATTGAAAGTTCTCCCAACATAGGTGACAATTGCCCCAGGAATGTTAGAAGAGGTGAATAGCTCAGTCATGATGATTCTTTC